TACACCAATGGTTGTTCGATCACTTGAAGTGAATAAGGATTTGTTCCGACCTCCAGAAGAGGAGGAGGAACTTCTTGGTCCCGAAGTACCCCATCTCAGTGCAATTGGGGCACTAATGTATCTTGCTAATGCTACAAGGTCTGACNAATTTTATACGAAGACAACGCTGCATGCATAGCCCAATTGAAGGGAGGATTTATAAAAGGAGATAGAACGAAGCACATTTCACCAAAATTAGTCTACACACATGACNCATATATTGCGATATTTAAAGGGAACTCTTGATATAGGTTTGTTTTATGCTAACAAAGATAGTGTAGACCTTGTCGGTTATGCAGATGCAGGTTATTTATCTGATCCACATAAAGTTCGATCTCAAACCGGCTATGTATTTACATATGGAGGTACTGTCATATCATGGCGCTCCACAAAGCAATCTATTGTTGCTACTTCTTCAAATCACGCTGAGATAATAGCTATTCATGAAGCAAGTAGGGAATGCGTATGGTTGAGATCAATAATTCATTTTATTCGAGAAAAATGTGGTTTGGAATGTGAGAAAAGACCCACAATTTTATACGAAGACAATGCTGCATGCATAGCCCAATTGAAGGGAGGATTTATAAAAGGAGATAGAACGAAGCACATTTCACCAAAATTATTCTACACACACGATCTTCAGAAAAGTGGTGACATTGATGTGCAACAAATCCGTTCAAGTGATAATCCAACAGATTTATTCACTAAATCTTTGCCAACTTCAACTTTTGAGAAGATGGTATACAAGATTGGAATGCGGAGACTCAAATATTTGAAACAAGGTTTTCATCAGGGGGAGTAAAATACGCGATGCACTCTTTTTCCCTTACTAAGGTTTTTTCCCATGGGGTTTTCCTTATAAGGTTTTTAATGAGGCACCTAGCAATGCGTCTTACTAAATATGTGTACTCTTTTTCCTTCACTGGGATTTTTTCCACGCGGTTTTTCCTAGTAAGGTTTTAATGAGACACATTATCTTTTAATGAACATCCAAGGGGGAGTGTTATAAATATATTATATTATGGATGTTCATTTAGTACTCCGTTGTAAATAAGCTTCCTGAAGAAGCTTATCCATATGGGACTCCACCGTAAATATGTTTATCTATTTAGTACTATATTGGAAATAAGCTTCCTGAAGAAGCTTATCACTTCGGTACCCGGTTATGGATAAACATTACCCCCAGTAGAAGTTTATCCATACCGGGTATAATAAGCTTATCTTTTCAGTACCCAGTTATGGATAAACATTACCCCCGGTAGAAGATTATCCATACCGGGTATAATAAGCTTATCCTTTCAGTACCCAGTTATGGATAAACATTACCCCCGGTAGAAGATTATCCATATCGGGTATAATAAGCTTATCCTTTCAGTACTCCGTTATGGATAAACATTGCTCTCAGTAGAAGATTATTCATATCTAGTATAGTAGTAGCTTCCTTTCTTCTATAAATAGAAGAGATTTCAGTTCATTATGTACATCAATTTGAATTCGAATAATATAACAGTTTCTCTCTATACTTGTCTTTACTTTACAGTCTTTATTTTATAACACGCATAATATTTTATAGAGTTTAACTTTTATATATATTAACATAGTAAACTTCTTTATATTAGGTTGTTTAAAAGATCCTTATAAATAATTAGTATTGTTCATAAATAATCAGTCGAGATAATTAATAACCTGAAAAACAAGACACGTGACAATTACACTACTAATGTAAAGTTATCATTACACCATATATGAATGTGATTTTTGTTAGTCAAACTATAATACTATAAAATATATGAAACAACAAGTTTTCTGAAACAAAAAACAGAAACAGAAAAATACTAGTATAGCAGAAATTTAAATAATCAAAAACAGAATCTGATAATATATTTCGGAATAAAATCGAGTCCACTGAATGTACATTGTGTCTTTAAGAAAATTATTCCCCTCATGTACCCGAGGTTTTGGAATATTATCCTCTCAGGATAGAACGACTTAACTCACCAGTGTATTGGTACCAAAAACTCTGATGAACTTCGAACCACTTAATGATTATAAAACACACTGAAAAATTTCGTGCAGAAGAAGAAGAAAAAGAAGAAGATCAGAAAAATTCTGGGATTAAGGTATATTTATAGCCATTTTGACTAGGTTGCATTGCGGGCACTGGGTTATTCTGGGTTGACTTTTCGTTAATTAATTTAATTTATTAATTGAAAGAAATTTTGTCCAAAAAAATTAATTAATCAATCGATCTTTGACCAAATCCGAATCCAAAGCCGAAGCCGAGCCGAGCGATGAAGACAGCGGCGCGAGGTTTACTTTCTTTCCAACTCATTTGACACCAAGGGAAGTGTTTTCTCAATATAAGCACTTCACTTTTCTTTCCACCACCAATAAGGGACACTTGCTTTTTCCAAAGCAAAAGGGAGCTCACTTTCCCTTCACTTTCTTCTCTCCATTTTCCATCACCAATCTTTTAATCCCAACAATCCCCCACATCAATGGGGAATGGCTATAAGACAAAGGAATGCACGGATGAATGTGTGATTTACATGCAAGAATTAATTGCATCTGGATAAGTAGGTTTCCCTTTGAACTTTCCGTAATGAACGTATATCAGATATACTCGATCAATCGGTAGATTTGATATCTTTGAATCGTCGAACTTTGTTATATACCTACACAACATAAGTCACACAATCAACCCTTAAAATTAAAGATATACACTCATTATGTTTGGATTTACGTTATGTTATACTATCAGTATATGTTTAACTTGTAATAACAAGTTAGTTCACATTTTGTAAAATTAGCAATTACTTATTTATTTATAATTATTTATAAGTAATTTTTAATTTGTAAATACTTTATATACCGTGCATAGAACTTAAACTTTAAGGTCAGGAAATACGTAATGAGAAATAAGCTACACGTATTTGTTTTTTGGGTCATAGTCATCATTGTGTGAAATATTTTTACACGTAGCTGTTGAATGGGATAATCATACTTGTCACTCATATTAATTAGTCTTCAAATGCAAGCTAAAGATGATCGATGAGTGCATCTTTTGAGTTACATTGGATACCCTTTGAGCATCATGAGTTTTTACTCTTCTTCATATATAGTAATTTTTAACTGGCCAGATATCTGTTCTCTGAGATTCTGCTCTGCTAGCGGATCTTTCATTTTCCTATTGAATAATACTAACAAGTTACTTTATTTATTCTTTCATCTTCTCATTAAAAAAGAATTTTTTAACTGCAATGTAATAAAACTATAGAGATAGATCCTTGCTGTCTACCTTTCAACTGATACCAACATGGTTTTTTCCATTGCAGGTATTGCAAAGCTCCTAACTTTAGTTGGAAAAAATAATCCAAATTTGACCGTTTTACATTGTTTAAAAACTATTTCCATACCGGTGACCACTATCCACTTTGGGCCCGACCTATCACAGGCAATTTGATGCTCAAAGCTCGAATTCAAACCTTTAGTTACACCATTTGGTGGTAGACATTTTTAAATTTAGATTTGCTTTCTTTATCCGGTGCAAAAAAGTCTGGAGCTCTTTAAAGATCCATTGAACTTTTACTATAGCTTATATTGGAAAAGAGCAGAATTAAGACTCGTTTGTTCATTTTTTTCCTATTCTTCTATACTTATCTTCAAAATATTGTTCGGTTATAAATTGGACTGTTTGAAACTTCTTTTATCACCTTTTCAAGTATAAATTCATTTCCCCTTGTACTACTGCAATATTTTTTTTAAATAAAATGCATATTCAAACATAATTTTAAATTTTCAACTTAATTCTAAAAATTACTTTTTTCAAAAATTATATAAGTAATTTTTAGCGAAAAGGGTCACATATACCCTTGTACTATTAAAATTATCCAAATATGTCCTTCGTTATACTATCGGTCTAATTTACCCCTTATGTTAGCAAAGTAATCAAAAATACCCTTATTTCTAACGGTGCTCCACCATGACAATCCAAATCCTACATGGTCTAACATTTGGGTGAGGTTGTGGGCTTATTCCGACCTTAACCAAAGTGATGAAAGAGGTTAATTACTTTGATAACAGGAGGGATAAATTTAAATCCATAGTATAACGGAGAACATATATGGATAATTTTTAATAGTACATAGGTATATCGGGTACTTTTCCTTAATTTTTATGTCCAAACGCCTAGTGAGTATAAGGAAAATTGCAAATGAGAGAGAGTTGAAAAAAGTAGTATAGTAAAAGAGTGGGGGGCGGGGTGGAGTGAGAGTTGATGCATGTGTATGTCTGGTTTTTGAGAATAATTAAGTGTGGAAACTCTGTTGGTAATGTCTACTGGGTGCCCCCCGGGGTCTGTGGCCTTTGCCGCCAACCAAGGAAACAATGCACCTCTCTTCCCATTTCTTTTAAAGTTAACAACAACTTCACTTCACCATTTCTTCTTCTTCTCTCTCTCAAATAACTCTTGCAAATTCTCGATTCATTGGGTTATGAACACAAAGGTAGTACAGTAATCAGTTGAGTTGCTAGGAAAATGAAGTTCATGAAACTTGGATCCAAACCTGATACCTTTCAATCAGATGGGAAAAATATCAGGTCAGACTTGAGATTCACTGCAATTGTTTTGGCTTATTTGTCTAATGTTATCCCCTTTTGGCATTGAAGGCTTTGTATGTCTTTCTGAGGAAAGGATTTATACAGATTGAACTCTAATGTTGTACGCCCTAACAAAACCAGAAAACCAAATGAGGGGACATTTATGTACTTTTGTTCACTTCTCCACCTCCAATTGCATAACTGTCTTTTTGTTTTTTGTTTTTTTATACATATGACATACCTTTTTAGAGCTTGGTCATTTAATAACTTAGAGATTTGAAGCATAGTATAATCTTCAGGCTTATCTTTATCTTTTCTATTGCTCTAAGGATAGTGGATCAGGTGCTTCAAATGCTCATCAACTGATTGAAATTTCAGTGCTTACTATATAGTGCCTACGGAGTTTCTTTATATTAGTCACTGTACTGTCGTTTTCTTATGTATAGCTGCCCCAAAAATCAATAGAGCAAGTTTTGTATATCAGTATAAGCATTACTATCGTATAGTGGGGACGGGAGTAGTATGATTACCGGGGAGGTTATGAGGTATTAGGGGGAATTTAAAAGGTTTTGATTATTGGGAAAGATTATATTATTAAATCTTACGAGGCTGTTGTCTTCTTAATTCATCTGCTATTGGAAATTGAAAATAACGACGTCAACAGTCATATAACGTCTTGGTCCTCTGATTAATCTTGAACCTTTGTCAAAAGGATGATTAATAAGGTCAAATAGGTACTTTCTGTTGAATGTCTGTTGGTTCTAACATAAAGGTCAGATGGCACCTATTTCGAACACTGAAAAAAAGAAAATATGCTACAAAGTTTTTTTTTTTTTTGAAGAGAAGAATGATGCCATTTCATTTCGAAGGACAGTGTGGAGAACAAAGCCTGTCAGCTACTTCGAATGAAATAGATTCCATTCTCTTTAAATTACTGAAATTCAGCTTGCAGGAACCAAGAGTACCAGCATTTAACGCAGTTTTTATATCTATTCTCAGTATGTTTTAATCTTATCTGTGAACTCTAGCTATCTATCTGCATTCATAACTCATAGTGTTTAAACGAGTTTTCAACATTAAAATTTCCTTTGATGCAGATATGTTGCTTCAGAGTTGGCTTCTGACATCGTTGTTAATATAGGAGATGTGAAGTTTTATCTGCATAAGGTAAACCTATCTGACAATTAATATATGTGATCTTCCTCTGCTCAAGATTTTATTAGATGATCTGCCTGCTGGTTCTTGAGAAATGAAATAACTGAGAACACTTTTGTATTTGTTTAATTAGCGAATGGGGTGGTAGTACTACATGAAATGGCACTAGAACCCCTGCCTGAAGGAAGTTAAATTGATTCTCCTCCTAATTAAAGCAGGTTAAGAAGTACAGAGTGCTAGATCTGTTCCTAGGCATGCTTCAGACTGCTAATATCTGCATTAGTGCTAGTTGCTTCCTAGCATGGATAATTCTTTCATTAAGTTTGTGGTATTTATAGAACTGGTGTTGCTAATGGCTCAAAGACATTGCCCCATCTATTTTTGAAGTCAGTTCAGCTCAACTTTGTGGTATTTATAGAACTGTTAAAGCATCTCCACTGCATTTTTATAGTCATTGCAATGTAGGTGTTAATAAATTTAACGATGGTAAAAACTATCAAGAAAGTAAGCTTCTCAAAATACCTATTTATAAACTGCTTGTTGGATTGCCCATGTTCATTTTCTGATAACTCCTAATTGGTGAAAACTGCAGTTTCCTCTTATGTCCAAGAGTGCTTGTTTGCAAAAGCTGGTAGCGAGCACTAGTGAAGGAAATGGTGATGAAGTTTATATCCATGACATTCCTGGAGGGCCTAGTGCCTTTGAAATATGTGCCAAGTTTTGTTACAGTATGACCGTTACACTGAATGCTTATAATGTCATAGCAGCAAGGTGTGCTGCAGAGTATCTTGAAATGCATGAGACTGTTGAGAAAGGAAACCTTATTTACAAGGTTGATGTTTTCCTTCACTCGAGCATCTTCCGAAGCTGGAAAGATTCAATAATACTTCTTCAGACCACTAAGTCATCTCGGTTACATATGTGTGAGGAAGTGAAGTTGATCAGCTACTGTATTGATGCTATAGCATCCAAGACATGTATTGATGTTCGCAAGGTTGATTGGTCTTACACCTATAACCGGACAAAGATACCAGAGGAAAATGGAAATTCGAATGGAATTAGAAGCCGTGTGGTGCCAAATGATTGGTGGGTTGATGACTTAAGTGAGCTTGAAATAGATCTTTATAAACGGGTTATTGTCAACATAAAGAATAAAGGGATTGTTTCCCCGGAAGTGATTGGAGAAGCTATTCAAGCTTATGCTTCGAGAAGGTTGCCAGGCTTTAGCAAGGGTGATGTCTCCAGATCACGCTCTATATTGGATACAATTGTAAGGTTATTACCTGCTGAAAAAGGTAGCGTCTCTTGTAGTTTCTTGTTGAGATTGCTAAAAGCATCCGTTTCAGTGGATTCTGGAGAAATGGTAAAGGCAGAACTAGTAAAAAGAATAGGGCAGCAACTGGAGGAGGCTTCTGTCGATGATCTTTTGATTCGAGCTATAGATGGGGAAGCGACAATGTATGATGTCCATGTCGTCCACAAAATACTAGAAGGTTTTGTGTTGCGTGATGAAGATTCTAAAACTGAGTTGGAAGATGGTAATGATGAAATTCCAGAGGTCAGAAAGCCAGGGCTTGACTCAGAAGCTTCAAAGCTCATGGTGGCGAAGCTAGTAGATGGATACCTTACAGAAATTGCCAAGGATCCTAATCTCCCTTTGTCAACATTTGTTGGTCTGGCAGAGATGGTCACAAATTTCCCTCGCCCTCGTCATGACAGCCTTTATCGCGCAATTGATATGTACCTCAAGGTGAGAATCTGTTGAAACATCTCTATCAAACTTGTTCAATTACAAAAAGAGTGCATTCTTCCCCTTCTACCCTTACATGTTTTGTGAACCACAGGTAGGCATAATTTCTGCATCTCATACTTAGGCAAGTGCTAGTGATAATAGATGGTGTCTGGTAAACATATCTTAAGATCGTTTGGACCCAAAAAAAAAAGAAAAAGAAACCTGTAACGATCACGTTGTTAAACTTATTTCTTTGTTTTCTTTAGTTAAAGAAAGACTTTGCATTTGATAACACTAACACCACTGAAGTAATATTTCCAGGGTGTGATTTGTTGTGCAATAGTCTAGCATTTCCCATCTCATATACAGTGGTAGCAGAAACTTGATTTATGCTTACCAGTGAACTTTTCCTGGAAAATCTAAGGTCGATTTTAGCTACTAGGAAAGCCCTTTGTTAAAACTAATCTTCTTGACTTCTTTTCAGTTTTATCTGGAACTAGGAATCAAAAACTCGGTCTAGTTTTGAATAAATTATATGAAAATGTAGTATTTCTCAGACATGGGGGCTACATTTCTATCTGCAATGTTGGTGCTTTGTTGGGTATTCAGTGTTTTAACTTTTAAGTCATCTCTAGTGAAGAACACTTGCCACAACTACTGCTGTAAAAGGAAATGTGTAGTATAAAAAATTCCTACTCTCAACTAATGAATATACTTATGGGTGTTCTTGTGATGTTGTAGGAGCACCCTGGGATCAGCAAGAGTGACAGAAAGAGAATTTGCGGGCTGATGGACTGCAAGAAGCTCTCTGTTAATGCATGTACACATGCCGTGCAAAATGAGAGACTTCCGTCACGTGTTGTCGTACAAGTTCTCTTTTTTGAGCAAGTCAGGGCCAATGCATCATCGGGTTGCAGCACCCCGGATCTGCCCAAAGCTATTAGGGACCTTACTGCTGGTGTTTCATATGAGAGCTCAAGATCAGCGACAACAAATACAGAAGACTCGGAGGTTACAGCCTCTGCTGAAGAACTGAGGGCATTGAAAGAAGAGCTGGCAGCCTTAAAGTTGCAAAATGGAGGACTAATTGACAAAGTTAATGGAGATACCAAACGTGCTGCCACTAGTAGAATGAAAGGCTTGCTTTCATCGAAGAGAATCTTTTCCAGAATCTGGTCAAGTAAAGGCGGGCAAGGGGAAAATAGTGGGTCAGATTCATCGGAGAGTCTTGGTTCTGCCAGCTTAGAAGAAGCAAAGTACACACCTTCAAGAAAAGGAAGACATTCAGTTTCTTAGTCCTAACTAGAAAATGCATGTAGTCACTAGTCTTGGATTCTTTTGGGGGTTTCATTAAATGACCTCAGCATGTCAAAAACTACTTTTCTTAATTACTCTGAAATCTCTTGCAAAATGAAGGGAGAAATTCAAAAATAGCCACAAAAGTATCGAAATTTAGCCACTTTTCATGTAAAGATAAATCTGAACGAAAATACTGTTCAAAATCCGAAAAAATACTCTAGTATAATATACTGGAGTTCCAGTATAATATACCGGTCTAGCATAATATACTGGAGATTGGAGCACCGTTGGAGTTCCAGCATAATATGCTTGAAGTTCATACACAGGTGCACCGATCTCTAGTATATTTTGTTGGAACTTTCCGTATTGCAGCAAAATAGTGGTTATTTTTCAATTACTTTGTAAACGCTAACTATTTTTGAATGACCAGTCCAAAAACTGACTAGCCCGTGCTATTTTTACCAAAATGAAGCATATAATTACACAAGGTCTAGTGGAAGAAATGTCTCTATGGGCCAAAAGAAAAACAGAACTTTGACGTGTATATATATTCTCTGGTCCAAAATTAGCTGTCCATGCGACAATGAGACGACTCTTCAAAGCATGGTCATTAAGTTTGTCCTAGGGGTGTACATAAATTGGGTTGGTTCGGTTTTTAACAAAACCAAATCAAATCAACTATATCAGTTTGGATTAGTTCGATTTTGTCGGATTTTTCAGGGTTTTCGTGTTTTTGTTACTTAAATACTATTAAATATTATATCCCGCAAGATAATCCCAAATATTTCTAGACATTTTTAAAAGAAAATTCTATATAAAAATATTAAAAGTATATATAAAAATTATATATTTATATGTCGGTTTGGTTCGGGTTTTTTTTACTCAATACCAAACTGTAACGACCCGACCGGTCGTTTTGCTTTCTAGAACCCCATTTCCCTGAATAAGACTTCTCGTACTTGCTTTAACTGATTTATAACTTGCGGGAATGGTTGGTTCGGGATTTAAAAGAGTTTGGGTTGACTTGCGGCGCACGTGCCGCATAAGCGATCTCGCAGAAGAGAGCCACTGGTCGCAGAAGCGATGGGGCCAGCTGAGGAGAGGACCGCATCGACGGGGCCTTTTTCGCAGATGCGGAGCTGCAGAAGCGGCCAAACCTCCGCAGATGCGAAAATCGCAGAAGGCAGAACCTCAATTTAATGCAGGATTTAAGCATTTTAAAAATATTAAATAAACAATCATGTGGTTAGTTCACTGTTGGCTTGCCTAGCGGTAGCGTTGGGTGCCATCACTGCTTATAGGAGAAATTGGATCGTGACAATTAAAATAATCTTTGTATTTTAGTAAACAAGTTTTACAATTAATTCATTGAATTAATCTTTAATTTATAACTATACTACCTTTATTACTTTAAATTAATCAAAATTAGTTTCATAAAATTAAATGTTTTAATAAATAAATAATTAATTATAACAATAACAATATATTTGATGATAATATTTTATTATATTTAATCACGATTAATTAAGCATGATTAAGTTGATTTCAAAAGGAATTAAAAACTCAAAAGGCAATAATTGCAATTAACCATTTAAATCCACTGTAGCTATGTGTTTAAGTCCATTTGACCCAAAACACACGAGCCCGAACCCTTGACCTGGTCCCGACCCACCTCTTCCATCCCATATTGCCAATCCATCCTATTACATTTCAATCAATGGCATCGTGCCACATCGTCTATCTTTCCCACTCATAATACAAACACAACAGATCTAGACCATTGATCTAAATCATCAACGATCTGTATTAATTCCTATTTTTCCTTTAATATAAATCTTTTGTCAGACCTTATCTCAACCGTTCGATCACACGGATCCAACAGATTTCGTTTTTTCTCTAATAATCATTTTTTATCAATTCTTATCTTCTAAAAATCGGAGCCGTTGATCAAGTGATCCAATGGCTCAGATCTAATCTCCCGTTTTTAACACATCAAACACCCCTAACCCTAATTCATTCTTCCACTACCCAACCACCTCTCTACATTGGTATACCATGAGTAATGTTGAATTATGATATACTTTGAGTATGTTAAATAGTACACCTACCAACCACCTCTCTACGTTTGTATATCATGACTAGAGTTGAATTATGATATACTTTGAGCATATTAAATAGTATACCCAATATTCTCAGTATACTATTAGTATATCACAATTAATGTTGAATCATGGTATACTTTGTTTGAGTATTAAATGTTATACCCAATATTTTTGGTATATTATACTATACAATATAGTGTTGAATCATGATACACTTTGTTTGAATATGTTAAATGGTATACCTAATATTATTGATATACTACACATTGGTATACCATAATTACAATTAAATTATAGTATTCTTATATTCTTTGTATATTATACATTGGTATAGCATGATTAGTGTTCTATACCAAATTGTAGGATCCTCTGATTTAATTATAAATAACAAAGAAAGGTGAAGAGTGATAAATTCTTTACTATAAAAAACCTAATTTGTTTTATAAAATGGAAAAAAGTCATCTATAAATATAATATAAAATTCAAATAAAATAAAATAAAAAAGAATGATACGATAACTCTCGATAATTATAATGATTAATAATTATGAAAAGTATCTCAATACTATTTTAGGACTCGATTATATATCTAGAAAGAAAAGAAGAAAAATAAAGTGGAAGAAAACGATAAAAATTTTAGCAGAGGAATTTTATTGAAAAATAACATAAAAAATTAAGGCGATAAAATAATAATAAAAAGAGAAAGAAGTGACAGAGTGAGAGATTGTTAGTAAGAACAAATAAAAAATAATAGAAAAGATAATTAAAAAAAGTGAAAGAAAAATAAAAAGAGTGTAGAATTTTAATACAAAGAAAAAATAAAAATAAAACAGGAAAAATAAAATAAAGTGAAAAAAGTAACAAGTATTCTAGACGAAGAGATTTTACTAAAAAAATAAAGCTAAAAAAAATAAAAGACTAAATCAAAAAATTATAAAAAAAATTAAGACGAAAAAAATAAAGTGAAAAAGAATGAGAGGTCAGTGCTAGCAAAAACAAAAAAAAAAGAAAAGGTAATTTAAAAAGAAACTGAAAAATAGTGCAATATTGTATTAGAAAGAAAAATAAAGTGCAAAAATAACAGCAAAATTGGGGAAAAGTGAAAAATTAAAAAAAAAAGTGAGAAAACATTAAAAAAAAATAAGGAAAAGAAAGAAAAAAAGAGGCAGGGCCTGAGATGAAGTTTGGACATAGGAAAGGTGGAGGCATACATGTAATAAAATCTTTAAAAGAAGACCTATTTTGCAAAAATGACATTTTATAGCCGCTCTTAAAATAATAGCCGAAAAAGTGTATTTTTTGTATATATATTTATTCTGTATGTTATATATAAAAATTATACAAATTTTATACACTTTTTCGGCTATCAAATATAAATAGTTTTTTGTGTGAGCTAGTCAAATATACAAAAAGTGTGCATCTATATATAAAATATATATATTATATAATAATATACAAAAATATATTTTTTGATTATTTTTTAGAGCGGTATACACAGTATCTGGGCCCAAAACGCAAGGTGATTTTGGCTAGTTTCAACTTCATCGCTACTCCCTTGACACCACAGCGAAATAGTTCGTCTCAGGTATCTGTCCATCTTCCCATCTCTTGTGAATCAATATCCTTAACCCTTTTCAATTGATTTTTGCACGTCAAGCTCTACTGAATTTTTATTTATTTGGGTATTGTTAAACTTAAAGTTAGTAAAAAAAAAAAAAAAAACCTTTTCTTTTAGAACACTCCTGATTTGAGGCAAATTATTTTGGTATTGGAATGAATAGGCCCAAATAGAAATAGTGCAGAATTGTTATAAAATAACTCATACGGCTGATCCCAGTTGGTTTGGGATTAAGCTACTGATGATTGATTGTAAAAGGGGAATCCGCGTAAATGTGCTATCAAGAGGAATGAATTAGTGAATGAATTGTCCTATCACATAAGTATTACTCTATTATCATTTATGAATAGATGATTAAAAGGATATTTACTTGATTCTGAGGACATGAGTGACATTCTATTGAAAAATTTAGATGGTTCAGCTCAGTGAATCTGTTTGAAAGGCTGCTCTGAGTTTGCATCTTTCTTAATTTGATAGCACCAAATTAAACACTTTGTAACCTTTTGTGTATTCGGGGGGTCATGGGATCGAACTCCTTCTGAACTTATGTTTGTTTATCTGTGTTCAATTTTTGTTGCATTTACTCTTTTATATTTTAGCACTGTGCATTCATAAGTTCTTATTGGTATATATTTTCGCACTGTGCATTCAATTTTTGTCTCCTTTTGTCTTTTTGTTTTCTTGAGCCGAGGGTCTTTCGGAAACAGCCTCTCTACTCCTTCGGGGTAGGGGTAAGTTCTGCGTACACACTACCCTCCCCAGACCCCACTAGTGGAATTTTACTGGGTTGCTGTTGTTGTTGTTGGTATATCTTTTGGTATTACGTTTGGGCTTGTAAGTGTAGTTGCTTTGGAGGGCTTAACTTAACTTTGTCATGTCGTGGTGCTGTTGTCTCAATGTTTTTCTACTCTTTTGTTTTCTCTTCTTTTTAATTACTAAATCTTTATTCGCTTATGTCGTTCAACTATTAAATAGGATATTCTTCCATTTGGTTGTATATAAAAAAAGGAAGAAAAATAGATTCAAAAACTGTATGTTCAAACTGTTTCATTCAATTGATTGGTATCTTAATCTTTGCCAACTAATAATCATTCTACTCCGACAAGATTTTACATGCCAATCGTTTCACATCCTTGATTTTCAAAATCCTCTTTCATATAGCATATCTGATGCGAAAGGATATTTCAACTTTGTGTGGTTCCTTTCAGAAATGTGGCTAACACAGCATTATTTGTCCACAGTTGATCCATGGCTAATGAAGCTTCTTCGTCGACTTCACTTACCGTTGATGAAGAAGATGAGATACTGATGCTGTATGGGTCTGAATCTGGTTGGGTTGATCCCCTAAGTCACTGTGATCACCTGACTTCTTTATCCTCCGATCTCATTCACATTCCAACTCCAGACACTCCTTGCAACAGGTTCATCTTCCTACAGCCCTAATCTCTTTTGAACTTATAGAATCCAGTACATGTCATACCATAATTTCATTATGTTTCTTCCGATCATTTGTCTCTTTTTAATTCTATTTTGAGTTTTTAATGAGGTTAATGTATGTTCTAATTGCTCTATGCTGTAAGTAATAGTAATAAACAATTTTAAGGCTATTAGTTTTTCAATGTTTAGCTACTCAAAATTCATATCCAGATTAAAGTATCACGAATTGAAATGTCATGTCTAAAAATGTTGCTACATTTCACCGTTTCAAGTACCCCATAATAGGCTATGTTGCTCAGACTCTCCAAAAACATTGCCGCACCAATGTCGGATCCTTTAAAATTGTACTACTTTTGGAGGATCTGACACGCACCTGTCATCATTTTTGAAGAGTCCGAACAACATAGATAATAGGTGCTGCAACAGTCTTCCTTTTCTCCTAGAATCTTAGACCATTTCTCTATTTGAGAGGCCCAAAGACGTGGACAGAGAAGAAGTTTGGACTTGTTTCAAGGTTGATGAAGGATATGTGACTTTATCTTGTTTTAGAAAAAATAACATTTTTGCTCCTCTAAAGTTGTTAGATTAATATCCTTAAAAGGTAATTTTTCCATTTTGTGTATTATTTCATATTCACTGGCTTATTAAGGAAAGTAGTGGCTAGTCACTCTCAATTCTGTTGTTTTTAACTCTATATATTGGAATTAATAGCCCATACAATTGCTTGGCTTTTCTGATAGTTCATAGAGGTGTAGTTGCATGTATTTATAGACTTCCATCTATCTGTATGATAATCACGTATAGTTATTCCAATCTCGGAAAAGACTAGTTTTTATTTTCTACGGCTGACTTTACTATTAAACCTTCTATGCTGGCTTGAGTTAGCTAAATGGATATTGTTTTTAGAAGCAAAGAAATTTGGTGACAGTGTGTGAATTTTTTTTTGTAAGGTGTCAACACCCAGCAGAGAACTGGCTATGTTTGTGCTGCAAGGAGGTTCTTTGCAGTCGATTTGTTAATAAGCACATGCTCGATCATTACAAGCAGAGCAATCACTCTATTGCACTCAGCTTTAGGTAACTTCTCTGACAACACAACACTACTTTTTGTCGATTCATTGAATAAGCACATGTTTGAGCTATAGAGGTATGTTTTTACTGGAATTTCCTTTTCCTTTTCTGGAGCAGTGATCTATCAGTATGGTGTTTCTCCTGCAATGCATATTTAGATGCTCAAGCAATAATGCCGTTGCAGTCTGTTCATTTCACTGCCTACGTACTAAAGTTTAATGAACCTCCACCTTTACGAGCAGCGGATTGTATAGAAATTACAGATAACAGAGCAGAGGGTTCTACTTCTGGGAACTAATCATTCCCTCCTCTTTAATGCTTGTGATGTTAGGTTGTTCAAAGATTTTCTTACTGATTTCTCTTATAGGAAAATGGGTTAAGAGAGAATTAATTTTGGGATCATGGCATCTTTATCTTAGATATGGACGTTTTGATATGTAAGCGAAATAGTTTGCTGAATAGACGGAGCACCAAGAAGTTAGTGTCAGTAAGCAAAAGTTTCAGTTGATACATCTGAACTTTACAAAAGTGATGGGTGTTGCTTTCCCTTCAAAACATCTTTGATTCCTTTTTAAACACCAAGACCAGAAAAATGCATCAGGAATTAGTTCATCGTATCTGTCTGTGTACTTTCTTGATCTTCATAGCCTGCCAGGTCAGTAATGCAGTTTCTGGAATTGCGAGGAAGTAGGAACCACCCGTTGTATGCATGCCGATGAGATTCAGGAGCATCTGAATACCTTTTTGCTTCATTGAATTATTATCAGTTAAATCAATAAATGGTATCACGTTTTAAAATCTATTACAGCAAAAGCTGCTGTGAGCGTAAAACTAAGGACAAATAAGTTCCCCTAACCTAAGGTTAGCATCCGAACCAAATTATTATTGACATGACAGGTAGTAGAAGAAGGCTATTGGAAAAGCTAGTTTTAGAAAGTATAGCTGGATAAATTGTCCGAGGGCTTTCAAAGTTCATACAATAACACGAGTAGCTAGCCAGCGGTTATATACATTCTTCTGCCAAATGGAGGCTTTCATCTTGGAAGAGTGTGATTCAATGTGTTTTACCCCATGACGCATTGATCACAAGGAAACTGTAGGCTGTCTCAAACAGCCAAAAGTGCCCAAAAAAAAAAAAAAGATATCCAGTAAAAAGAGGGAAGCACAAGTTGGATTAAGAATGGGAACAATGTAAGATACGTCTGAAGACAAAGGATTCCAAATTCTAAGCCAATGTATTTTATAAAATGTAAGAGCGTTTACTCATATCTGTCAACATGGATGATGCAGGGAAAGAAATTACAAAATGATCAAAGGTGCAAAATCTTACATGTTAGAGCTATTACTAATAACTTTATTAACAACAAAAATAATGAAATTGTTGACAAACGAGAAATTGTGCACTTCTCCCAAGGAGATGTACAACTTTTCCAAAACTTCAATGGCATTAATGATTGAAAAATATAAAAATAAAAATAAAAATTCTAAAACAACGGAGATATTGGAATATCATTCGTTCATTTTCCTGTCGCTGTCTGTAGAAAGACAAGGGAAAGGAGATACATTGTGGAGTCTAAATTTGCAATTTAAAAGTCAAAGTAGAAATTTGGCTTTAAATATCATAGTCTGTTGTGTCTGCAAGCAAGTCAAGACCAGAAGCAACTTGTGGCTCACCAAACAAAGACAAAGACCCGTTCCTTTCTGCAAAGCACGTGCATGCATGACACAATTCTCAATTTGTCAACTCTGTCCACTTCTTCCTGGCAGTGAATTCAAGAAGAAAAAAAATAGAGAGGATGTGTTATAAAGGGAAAAGGGCCAAATTTAATCCTTTACTCTCAGATATTATTTATATTTAACTTCTAGTATAATATTCGGTCAAATTTATTCTTATTATTATACTATCCAACTTGGTTTACCTCTATCATTTACAAACTTTTAAAAATTATCCCGAGTCCTAACGGATTGTCCATGAAATGTAACAAACAGAAGACACCAAAATAAAATGTACATCTTCACCTGCCATTAGACAAAATATGCAAGTAATTATAACATGTAAATATTCCTATAAACAACATTGCTTAGTCTTGTTAGAATTTAGGACAAACCTCAAAGAAATGAAGTAAAACATGTACCAGTATGATATAGGAAAATATTTATTAACAGCAAACTTACGATCTTGAACTTTAACTAAAGCTCTCTTATTCCTAACATAAATACATAATATCAACGAAATCTGCATTCTTTACTGCATAATTCATTTTATGAGTATTGAAAATTATCTACTAAGGTTACTTTTATTTATTTTAGAACAACAAAATAACTCAATAGAGAGTTATCCTACAAAGCGTTTTAGCCGCCACCGGAAAAGTGACGTCTCTCACAAAATCAAATATGAGTGATTTTATTGTCCTAAAATAAATAAAAGTAACTTTAGTAGGTAATTCACAAATACTTGGATGACCATAATAATACTTAAGGAATTAACTCTTTACATATGCTATGTAGCACCCTAATACTTTCCATAGAATTAGGATCTGCAATCTTGGGGTTGACTTTTTCTCTCCCTTGTTTTCTCCTTCCCATCTTATGTTAATCATTCTGAGGGAATGGTGAATGATGTCAAGAACAGTACTTCAACTAACAAGAAAAATCCAAAACTAACTTTATTACCTCTTATTGCTTTGATTTTCTATGAAGTATCAGGGGGCCCTTTTGGTGTAGAAGATTCAGTTAAAGCAGGGGGAGGCCCTTTGTTAGCTTTGCTTGGTTTCGTGATTTTCGCTTTAATTTGGAGCATACCTGAAGCACTAATCACAGCTGAGTTAGCCACAAGTTTCCCTGAAAATGGTGGCTATGTCATTTGGATATCTTCAGCTTTTGGCCCTTTCTGGGGATTTCAAGAAGGCTTTTGGAAATGGTTTAGTGGTGTCATGGATAATGCTCTTTACCCTGTATTGTTCCTTGATTACTTGAAGCATTCGTTGCCCGTTTTTAATCACTTGGTTGCGAGAATTCCAGCCCTGTTAGGAATTACTGTCTCTTTGACATACTTGAATTATAGAGGCCTCCATATTGTTGGTTCTTCAGCTGTTTTGCTTGCAAGTTTTTCTCTTTTTCCGTTTGTTGTAATGGCGATTCTCTCGATTCCTAGGATCAGACCACGACAGTGGATTGTTGTGGATTTCAACAAGGTTGAATGGAGAGGGTACTTTAATACCATGTTTTGGAATCTTAATTACTGGGATAAGGTCAGTACTTTAGCAGGAGAGGTTGAAGACCCTAGTAGAACGTTTCGAAACGCGTTGCTCGCGGGTGTAGTTTTGGTGGTTTCTTTTTATATTATTCCATTACTGGCTGCAACAGGAGCTTTAAAGTCTGACCCTAGTGAGTGGAGTGATGGTTATTTTGCAGAAGCTGGAATGTTGATTGGTGGCGTTTGGCTGAAATGGTGGATCCAGGCTGCAGCTGCAATGTCTAATATGGGGCTGTTTGAAGCTGAAATGAGTAGTGATGCCTTCCAACTTCTTGGGATGAGCGAAATGGGAATGCTTCCTTCTATATTTGCGTCAAGGTTTGAGCAATTTCCCCCTTGATTCTTTTATGATGTTTCTAATAGTAAGCATTTGTAAATTACTACAAGGTTGAGCTTTTCCTTGCATGACTTATTGATATTAGAGCTTCAAATGCTCCACCAAAAGAGGAAATATAAAGTAAAACTACCTTCATCTTAGGCTCTTGGATATTTATTTAACTGAGATGATTAAAAGTAGGGAATCTTAGTGTGTCCCTGTTGATGGAATTCAAGTACATTGATCAGTGGCTACCTACTGGGGCTTCGACCAAGCACCACCGGTCAATTCCGCTTTGGGGCCACCGCTAACTCTACCATTATTATAGGGGTATGGGGTTCGTCACAAAGAAAGATCAAGGCAGCATATCAGTTGTTCCTTTATACTTTACTTGGATCAGTTTTTATGCTATTAGCTATTCTGTTGATTCTTCTCCAAACAGTTAGGAAATATGCAGTATGATAAAAGATGAAAACAACTCTTAACTTGTTATTTATGGTTTTTATAAATTAAACCGGACATTTGAGTATCATCCAAAAGAGGGAGAAGACAAATTTACAGATTGGTCTTTTTGGCATTCTGAGTGTATTATCATAAGACAAGTCACTATACTTCAAATCTTGCAGATCAAAATATGGGACACCCACTATCAGCATCTTATGCTCTGCAACGGGCGTGATCATTCTGTCATGGATGAGTTTTCAAGAAATATTGGAATTTCTTAACTTCCTCTATTCAGTAGGAATGCTTCTCGAGTTTGCAGCCTTCATAAAATTAAGGATAGTGAAGCCTGATCTTCGCAGACCTTATAAGGTCCCATTTCAAATATTTGGAGCAACGGCGATTTGCCTTCCACCTGCTTTGTTGCTTATTTTTGTCATGTATCTGGCTTCATTACAGACGTATATAGTAAGTGGCTCGGTCATTATTCTGGGATTATTCTTGTATCCTGCCATAGTTCATGCAAAGGAGAAAAACTGGTGCCATTTTATTAGTACAGATGAACCATTAGGTCATTCTAACGATATTCTTGAGGACCAATCAGCAGCTACTGAACTTGATCAGGTTGTTGCTGATGAGGCATCTCTTAGCCTACTCGGACACTCTAAGAAAGTAGAGGATTCTGAAACCTTGTCACAAGAAATGTCAGCATTGGATTAGAAGATACTTTCATATTTTTTGTACATTTTATACCACAAGGAACGACAGCCTTGGTGCAACAGTAAGAGTTGTCGTTGGGTGACAAGGAGGTCAGGGGAGATATACAAGGTAAGGCTGCATAAAATTCCTAGATTAAATATGGGTCTGGCCCTTTTTTAGAACCCGTGCGTACCTGAAGCTTATTACCCCGGAGCCCCTTTTGCGATTTGTATTAACATAGTTCAAGCTTTTCCCTTTTGCGATTTGTATTAACATAGTTCAAGCTGGAAAAGATATGCTATAAATGGAATGAGACACTATGGGAGGAATGTTGTTGTAGCTGATGTGAAACACAATATAACTTATTAATACCAACTCCTGTCATATTTCTTCTTCTTCCAACTTGGTTTAAGAAAATTATCAGTATCGGTCAATCTTAAACTTTTTAGCTCTGAATGCTCTCTTTTATATATGTGTATGTGTCGCTCTCTGCATGTGCAATACTATAGGATAAATTGAAATTATAATAAGTTGTTAGGAAATTTCATTTATCTGAAGTCCTCCCTTACTTATGCATAGTCTTTCTTGTTAGGTGTTTGTCATAATTTTTTTATCATATTTGATTTTCCTATTTGTTGAAGGAAAGGGCAATATAATTACCTTAATTGAGTTTTTCTTTTCATAGAAGGAAATTATAATTCTCCTATACTTGGCTAGTTCTTTTTCTTGTAGGAAAATGTTTGGACTTCTATAAATTGAGGGTCCTTCCTTCTCATTCAGCAGCATCCACAATGTAGCCATAGGGGCTTGAGAGTAGTGTTTAGGGGGAGAACTTTACGGGACAAGTGTTAGTGTGTCACTTGTGTTTGCCTCTTCGTGAGGTTGTTCTATCGATATTTTGTACTCTCTTTTTATATAGTGGATTGCTCATCTCGGCGATGGATGTAGGTCAGTTGACCGAACCACGTTAAATGTTTGTGTTTCTTTTGGTATATTTCTCCTTTGTTGTATGATTTATCGTCGCTCAAGGTTTGTTTTGCTAGCTTCCGTATGACACCTGATTTTTACGGTTCTAACATTTCTTTGTCATTTTCATTTCTGTGGATTATAATTTCTTTGAAGAAAGATACAAAGAAGAGGAGCATGCATAGTCGATTCCAAAAATGAGTATGTGGAGTTTTAAGAGATATTCAGCGTTCGTCAAATACAATTCCAAGAGAAAATTGACTGACCATACAAAGTGTAGATAACGTCGTAATCTTTGGGCCCATACTCAACAGAACACTGAATGACTGCAAATTGTGATATGCATGGCGCATAACTCAGACTATCTCAGAATTTAGCTGTAAGAGAAGATTGACTAATTCAACTTTCATTGTTCATTGAAGCAAATGTCATATATCAGTATCACTGAAACTGTGATTTCAAACAACAAAGGAACGGAAACATGATGAAATTACAGTTATTTGTACCAACTCGATCCCTTGGTACTCTCTTCAGTTTCTTCTTTTTGCCATTTGAACAATACTCTGAGTCTGACATGTTGGGGAAATATAGAGAGAGCTCTAGGTCTCCAGCTCAATAGCACCAATTAAAGCTGCAACAGATAGGAGTTCGATTGGTTGCAAGAGAAAGCGTGCGTGCCAACATTTGATCCATCTTATTCTCTACTAATTCTAGCAACCAATCTATACCTCCATCCAAACATTATCCACGTCCTATTGTCACGATCCGGAATTCCCACCTTCGGAGCCGTGATGACGCTTAACATTTCACTTGCTAGGCAAGTCAATATTAGAGAATCTTGAAGCCAATTTTAATCAATTCAATAAGTAAAACCAATTAAACCGAAATGAAACTAAAACAAAGTACGGAGTGACATAATAACCAATAAAATCTAAGTAAAACCCGGATCTGGAGTCACAAGTACACAAGCTTCTAGAGTCTCTACAATAGGGTTTGAAATAAGCACAACTTTCTCGAATGAAAAGAAGAGTAAATAGGGAAAGTGGAAGGGGACTTCAAGGTCTACGGACGCCAGCAGATCTACCTCAAGTCTCCAAATGCTAATCCGAGCTGATGCACCTCACGTACAGCTAGGACCAGTACAAAAATCTGCACAAGAAGTGCATCATATAGTATGAGTACAACCGGTCTAATGTAATCCGTAAGTGTCGAGCCTAACCTCGACGAGGTAGTGACGAGGCTATGACAGGACACCTACGTAATTAAACCTATACAGACGAAAAATATACGAACAACATAACAACAAATAAAGATTAAACATGTACTACTGGGAGGGGACATGCAAAAAAGGGTACACGGTATGGTACTACAACATGAAATGGCACATGAAACAGTAACTAAACCTTCAGCCAATGAAACAGATAACATAATGAATAAAAACTGCACGACATCACCCTTCGTGCTTTTACTCTCATCGCAAAGAAGGAAATATCAGATGACACCAACAGTTAAAGAAATCAGAAATTTCTAAGTTCAAACCTTCCGTAGCCTATCCGAAACTCACACGATCTCTCGGGGCTCCAAACCAAATATGGACACAAGTCCAACAACCTCATACGAACCCGCTCGCGCGATCAAAACAGTAAAATAACACCTAGAATTATGAATCGAACACCAATTCAAATGAAATTTTTAATAAAACTTAAAATCTTCTGTTTTAACAACCGGACATCTGAATCACGTCAAACCAACTCCGTTTCTCACCAAATTTGGCAGACAAGTCATAAATATAGTAATGGACCTATACAAAATTCTGGAACCAAAATACGGATCCGGTATTAAGAAAGTCAAACATTGGTCAAACCTTTAAATTCATTATATCTTTCAACTTTAAATTTTCAACAAAAGTGATAACTCGGGCTAGGGACCTCCATATTCGATTTCGGGCAAATGCTCAGGTCCCAAATCATGACATGGATCCACCGGGACCGTCAATATACGAATCCGGGTCTGTTTGCTCAAAACGTTGACCGAAGTCAACTCAAATAGAGTTTTAAGGCATAATTTCATATTTTATTAATTTTTAAAATAAAAGCCTTCCGAAAAAAAGACACGAACCACGCACGCAAATTGAGAAAGGCTAAAGTGAGATATTTGAGGTTTTGAAATGCAGAATTAAGGTTTAAAACTCTAGATGACCTATCGGTCATCACATTCCCCACCTTCGTTCGTCCTCGAACGAACATAGAAAAGTACCTGGACTGGTGAAAAGGTATGGATACCTACTCCACATGTCCGACTCGGACTCCCAAGTAGCTACCTCGACCGGCTGACCTCTCCACTATACTCGAACTGAAGGATAACTCTTAGACCTCAACTGTCGTACCTGCCGGGCTAGAATAGCCACCGGCTCCTCCTCATAAGTCAAATCCTTGTCCAACTGGACTAAGATGAAATCTAACACATGGGACGGATCACTGTGATACTTCCGTAGCATGGACACATGTAACACCGGATGGACTTCTGACAAACTAGGTGGCAATGCGAGCTTGTAGGCCACCTCACCCACTCTCTGAAGAATCTCAAAGGGTCCGAAATACCTAGGGCTCTGTCATATTTGGCTTGATTATCTGATTTAATACATGTTGAACCTATGTGCAAAATTTAACTC